GTGCAATGCTTACATTCTTTTTTCAGTAAGTACTTGTATCGGTATTCGGTATGACAAGTATCCAAACTGAAGTACTTGTATTTGTTTTTAGAAAAACTGGTATCGGACACCCCTACAAAATACAGAATGTGTTGAACACACAAACAAATTTCRGAATCACAATCTGCAACTAAAGTTGTACAACTTAATAAATTCACATATTGGTGAAATATGACTAACTTTATTGAAATAATTTTCTTTTAAAAGTGTAGTGGCAACATTTTGCTCTTTGTATTTTTTGCTTTTACTGAACAAAAACACCCACTTGCAGTTCTTCGTGCACTTTTCGCATAAGGTCACACTGAAGAGAGTACTGACACTTCACTGCATATGATATTTTATAGTTTCTCATCTGTAACTCTGTTGGCTAATACCAGCAAGGACAGAATCAATGTCTCATTCAGAAGTCTTAATAATGTGTTAAATCAAATGTAAAGCTGAAAGCAAACAGCCAGCCAAGTGGTTGGAGTTTTATTGATAATCTTATTAAAAATGTCAGCTGTGCAGTTGTTTGTAGTATCTTATCCATCAAACTTTCCTCAGAGAGCCAGTTTCGGCCGAGACCAATGCTGGCAATTTAGTACCAGTGGTGTTGTTGGAACTGTTTTCAGCCTGCAGGCATTTATTCAAATCTAAAGTACAAGTATTTGTTGCTGACGGACACTTATTATCACCCCGGCACAGTGCTATTTGTTCTCTGATAGTTTTTGTTCTTTTTCACCCACAAATCTAACACAATTGGAGAACTTTCACAATGTAAGCATTGTCTTTTCTGTCATCTCACCAGCTAAGTGTACACATTCCCTGACATGCAGGACTGGCACCCTGCAGAGGAGAAACACACTGCATCAAGGCTTTTCTTTGCTTTTTGTATTTTCTTYGTCGTGGCAGAAAATCATAAAGGATCAAATTAGATGTCAACAATAATGAAGTAATTATTTTATGATGCATAGTAAATTATTTTTTTTTTAAAGTATGAGTACTAGGTTGCCCCCAGTGCCTTAGTGAATAGCTGCTGATTTGTGGTGTACCCCAGGGTTCTGTTTTGGGGCCTGTTCTGTTTATTTATTTTTTTCTCCCCCCTTGGGCAGGTAATTCAACAATTTAGATATGTACAATATCAGATTTATACTAATTATATTCAACTGTACTGTTCAATTAAAGAAAATGAGTTTCATAAATTAAACTCCTTAACTATTTCTTTAACTAGCGTTAAACACTGGTTAAGCGGCAATTATTTGCAACTGAACTTAGTAAAGACTAAAACTTTGATTTTTGCACTGGAAATCAAGGTTCCTCAAATTAAATAGTTTATTGGTCTTTTAGGTTCTTCTGTTCAGTCCAGTCTCTGAAACTTGGGTGTCTTTGTTTGCAATGTATTTGAAACAACACACAAAATTGTGTTCTAACTTATTCACTGTAATTTTAAACTATACTGTAGAATACTATACTAGAATACTAAATAATTCATTACCACATGACCAGTTATGTGTGAAGTCTTCTTCCATGTTAATCCTTTCTCTTGTCATTCAAGCTAGTCTTGTAAAGAGTGACTTTTTTCATCACTGCAAAGATTACACTTTCAAGACTAAATCATTACATGTAATCAAATGGCAGCATGACATGTGTGTGGCAGAAACAAAGCCTGCAAGCAGAAAACACTCACCATGTTATCGGTGAATATGATGGTCTGTAATTTCCTGCCTATCCCTTGCTCGCTTTTGCATGACATTGATCTTCCATGCCCCTAACAATGTGTGTTTATCTTAGCAATAACACAAAGCAACCACCAATTATATGCCTCATCGATTTTAGTGGATAGAGGGGTGGAGGGAGCTGGTGGACAAAACATTCATTCCACCACTTTAACAGAGCGTTTTGGACTGCAAGAAAACAAAAAAAGAGCATCAAAATAATAGGTCAGTGTAAATAATGACAATGAGTGGCGCTGTTCTAATTCTTTACTTTAGTTTCCGTGTCAGTTATTTTTTAAGAGGACAATGTGTTGCTGTGAAGTGCATGTATAAATGGTAAAATGCAATGAATGTTCAACAGTGGTGGACAAAATACTTGATTTCCTTACTTAATTCAAAGTACCAATACTTGTCAAATGTTACTCCAATAAAAGTAAAAGTAGCTATGTCAAATTATTACTGAAGTTAAAGTACTGGAGTATGTGCTTTCAGAAATACTTTGGTTTAAAGCTGCACATCAACACCTGTTGTATAGGGGTGTAGTGTTAATTTTACAGTGTGTCAGTGGAACAAATTAGGCACAAACTACACAAACACAGACAAAATTAGCAACAAGTAACTAAAACTCTTGAGCAATGCAGTGGAGTAAAAAGCATGATTTTATCAATAAAATGTTGTGGAGTAAAAGTAAAAAAATGTTTCTAAAGTACAAATATAGTACTCAAGCAAATTCACTTTGTTACTGACCATCTCTCATGTTCAGACTCAGTTTTCTGTATCTTTTCCAAAAATATAATTCATGTATAAATTCATATCTCCAGCAGCATGTCACCCACTGCTTTGTGAGTTTCCAATTTGAACCTTCAAAATTGGAATCTGGTTGTCAACAACTTTTTTTTGAGACAAAAGTCACTATATTTTATTAAAGAAAAATAATAAAAAAAAGAAGTCAGGATCTTATAATAAAGATGCAATGAAGAAAGTGACTTTTTAAAGTCAGAATATTTCCAGAAATGTTAGTTTGGTTATAGCTTCTCTGCAGCTGCCAAATCACATTTTAGCTCAATATCTGTAAAATTACCTGAATGGGAGTCATTTTGTTTGTTGATTAAGATTGATTAATTGTGGTGGCCATCTTGATTTGAGTTGACCTCCAAAATATAATCAATTACAAATGCATATCAAATGACTGTTTTCCGAAACTTTCATTAAAAGTTGTCCAGTGGTTCATGCAATAACCGAGGTTGGTGCCAAAAGGTAATTATAACACAAAGTGTAGAAATCTGACTGTACTACAGCTAAAACACAGCTTTAAGCACAATACATTTTTGGTTAATATATATATATATATA